TTTGATATCTTTCACGGGAACCGAGATAATTGAGCTGAAAGCCTCGGAATTTTTTCCGTCGTGGATTTTTTTCGCTTTTTAATCCTTATTTTGTAACCTCTCAATCTGAAACTACCCGTTCCAAGAAGCACAAAATTGTACTGAAAAACCGGTAAGGGCCCTCACTATCAAGTTTGAGCCCTTATATCTCGGTTCCTATGAGAGATACCAAAAAGCGGTCAACTAACAAAACACTTCTGCTATCATGATAAGCAGTTTATCAGTTGACAAAATTTTGATATCTCTCGTAGGAACCAAGAGAAATTGGCTCAAAAAAAAAATGGGAATCTGTCTATTACAGGTTTTACGATGTCTGTTTTACGTAATAAATATCTCCAATATGTTGCAATTTCTTCTTCTTCTCTTCTTTCTGATCACCATCAATCATAAATGCTTTCATCTCTCTCTCTCCACACTTGATGTTCTGAACAAGCAGATCATGTTCTTCTAGATATGGTCAATTTCAATTTGTTCATCTCTTTCCCTCTATTCGGAAATATATGTGTGTATATATACATTGGATTTGAAACATGACTACTACAGCCTAATACGTTTCTGTGTCTCCCTCTCTTTTGATGTCTACCAATTATTATGTCGAATACTTTTCCATAGAGATGATGCCCGTATCCACCCAACTAATTGTGCCCTCTCTCGCTCGCTTCATTTCTGACTCCTCTTCTGTTTTCCGGTTTCCATTTCTTTTTCTCTCTTTTCCTTTTTTCAACACAAATCGGAAGAGGAATTCTCTGGAAACACAGCTTTTACACTTTTAGCTTTATTTCTTCTTTTGACATTCAACCCTTTATTGGTTTGACATGCCAAATTGGCCCTTAAATGTTTATGTTGATGGAAAGAATGCCTGAAGTTAGTTTCTGGAATTTTCCTAGTTTTGAAATTCCGAGATTCCGAGATTCTGAGATTCTGAGATTCTGAGATTCTGAGATTTTGAGATTCTGAGATTTTGAGATTCTGAGATTCTGAGATTTTGAGATTCTGAGATTCTGAGATTTTGATATTCTGAGATCTAAATTTCTGGATTTTTCAGAAAACCGGTTTTTTGTGATTTAGGACCTAGAAATCAATATTTTGGAGGCTCGAAAATTTCGAGGATCCACCAGAATTTCTGAATTTTTGAATTTCTGATATTTCAAAATTCCTAGAACCTGTAATACTGAAAATAAACATTTTGAAATTCTAAGGTTCTGAGATTATCAGATTCTCAAATTCTGAGATTCTGAATTTCAAAGATGCTCAGATTTTAAGAATTCTCTGAACATCTCAATTTTCGGGACCAGGCTATCGTGAATTAAAAAAGCAAATGTTTCTAGTTTTCGAAATTTCCAGAACCAATTTTCCAACTTTCCAATGGCTCTAGTATAAAATTCTGGTCCTTAGAAAAAATTCTGGTCCTTAAAAAATTCGGGTCCTTAAATAAAAATTCTGGTCCTTAGAAAAAATTCTGGTCCTTAAAAAATTCGGGTCCTTAAATAAAAATTCTGGTCTTTAGAAAAAATTCTGGTCCTTAAAATGTGTTAATGTAAATGTATATTTTTCATCTGAAAATTTCGTAAAATCCATGAATTTTGTTGTTTTAGTTTGTGTTTAAGAAGTTTTCATAGTAGACATTAAAATTTTGTTATTAGAAAGATAGTAAATGTTGCAAGTAAAAAGTTTAAGATAGTAAATGTTGCAAGAGAGAAAAAACATTCACATAGTTTGGACTGAATAGTTTAGTTTTTTTATTCAAAAACATGTAAACGCCTAAAGCTTCTTGAATTAGTGTGAAATCTCATATTCATATTTTCATTATTCTAGATGGTTCCTACGACCTATGAACAGAATTACCCTATTCTACACCATACATCCCGTAAGAATTTTTATTTTTTAACTGATAATGACTACTGCACTACAAGTTTGTACGCAAAGTCTACATTTTGAAGTTTCGGATTCCGATATATTTTTTCTCTTTTATGTAAAGCCATCAGGACAGCCTTCCCGAAAAAATATGTTTTGAAACTATGGTTAACAGATTAGATCCAATAAAACATTTTATATCTGTAAAGGAGGATCAAAATACACACACTTAATACTTGGAACGTTACTCGACCTGCGGAATCTGGTAGAGATGGTCCTCTCAGTGTTTATTTCTTACGAACTAGTATTTTTCAAATTTGGTGGAACTCGAAATATGTATATTTTCAATTTTTCTGATGTTCCTTTAGAAAATGAACCATGGGTGCACTTTACTAGATACTTGCAACATTTACTATCTGTCTAATAACAAAATTTTAATGTTTACCATGAAACTTCTTAAACACAAACTAAAACAACAAAATTCATGGATTTTACGAAATTTTCAGATGAAAAATATACATTTACATTAACACATTTTAAGGACCAGAATTTTTTCTAAGGACCAGAATTTCATACTAGAGCCCGGTGTTTTTTTTCGCAAAACAAAGGGAACCCAAAAAACAAATTTTATGTATTTTCTTCGATTTCCCTCTTTATGCCACTTTGAATCCATTAAATTGGGCGAAAACCGAAACCAAATGGTATAAAACGTTTTGTGTCATTCTGTCTTCTATTTCTGATATGAATCTCTTTTGTATACCCCCGGTTTTCACTCTTCTCCCCCACCCCCTGGGGTGTTTCTTCTCACTTTTGACCCTTTTCCCCGAGAATCAGAATCGAAATTATGACTCATCATTATTATGCAAACACTTTTTTTTTTCTTCACACTTTTCTATTTTCCTTGTCCTTTCATGTCCAACAACCAACCACACTCTTCAAAAATCTGTCCGAAATTTCGTCTATTCTATTCAAATAACTCACCAATGAACACCTTTTTTTCAGACATTCCAAAAAGAATTGAACAGAAGAGAATAGTTTTTTTAAAGATTGCTCATCTCTTTAAGTGATGAACTCGAAACAGCACTGCAATCGATGCGGAAAACAGGTTTATCCGACGGATAAGGTTGGACCACTCAAGGATTCCACGTTTTTTCATCAGGGTGAGAATCTAATTCTAGGAATTTGACTTAAAACTTTGAACCTGAAAATTGATCAACTTTTTTACACCTTTTACAGGGACCATTCATATTTTGGAAAGTCATAAAAATGGAAAATACTATAAACACTCTAATTTAATGCTTACCCCCCCCCCCCCCAAACTTTGAGCTTATATATCTCAGTTCCTGTGAGAGATATCAAGAAGTGGTCAATTGGCAAAACATAAACTATAATATGATAAACATTTTATCAGTAAACAACTTTTTGATATCTTTTACAGGAACCGAGATATATGAATTCCAAATCAATTTTTGGGGTAGGGGGCATCCGATTAGTGTGTTTACGGTATTTGTGTGTGTTTTTTTTTTCGATTTCCCGAAATTCTAATGGTTTTAAATAATGAATTACAAATTTCTGAGATTTGTAGTTTTGTAAAAACTATTAATCTGACTATGAGTTTTAAATTTTATGAAAATTATCGAAACCAAGAATTTGAAATATTGAAACCTAATTTTTCGATTTATAAATATTTTGTTTCGAAACTTGAACATTTTTTAGCTACTCAATTTTTCAGAGTTTTGAATCTTTCGCTTTTCAATCTTCAAAATTTCTAATTTTTAAAAATTAATGAAGTCAAAGACACTAAGTTTTTGATTGTCGTAAAACCTTTCATAGAAGGGCTTCCTGCTTTTTCCATTTGAGCCAACTTATCTCGGTTCCTGTTGAAGATTCAAAAAATGTGTTAACGGACAAAATGTTAATTAAAATATCACAAACATTTTATCAGCTGACACATTTTTGATAGCTTTCACAGGAATCGAGATAAAGTAGTTCAAACTTGAGAGTGATTTTACCGTATCATTTTTCAATACTAAATTTTTGCAGGTTGCTTCAAATGCTACATTTGCGGAACTCGATTGGCATTGAAAACCTACTGTAACAATCGAAACGATATCAATGACAAAGAAGTTTATTGCTCAAATCATGTCCCAATCGCTGGACCTCACGATCTTCCAATGGCATCGACCAATGGTTCAGGCAAACATTTGGAGAACAATAATCATGTGAAAAATGGAAATTGGATGTAAGTTCTGATAAATTTATTTGAAAAAAAAACAATTTTTCTAGAGACGCTGGTCTATCCGATATGAAAATCGCACATGCTATGAAAGCCACTCAAGTCGCTAGGCCATACCCAAAAATCAGTCACGAAGGAGCCAAATACGTGGTGGATTATGATGCCCAGACCCGTTTGGAATTGTTGCACAGAAAAGATGAAGACGAGTTGTACGAAGAGTTTCAAGACAAGAGAAACCGAGAAGCTGAGCAATTCGAGAAGGAGAACACTGAAGAATGGGAACGAGCACTGGCTGAATTTGCCAAGAAATACGAGAAGGGGCAGGCGAATATGAAGAAGGATGATTTGATTCGGCAGTTGACAATCAAGAGGGAGAAGAAGCTGGAGACGTTGCATACTAAACGAAAGGTATTCTGACCTCTTCTGATCCAGAAGACGCTGTCAAAAATTTAAATTAGAGACATCTGAGTTAAAAAGCTCATTTCGCCCCCAGGGTTGGAGTCGGGCCGAGGTGCAATTTCTTCATTTGTCTACCCGCCGTCTCTCTTCTTTTCGTCCTAGTGAAACGCAGCGGCCGACATCTCCCGGGTTCCGCCGCTCGCTATACTTTGTGTGTGCGCGCGACTCCGCCCACTTTTGAGAACACATAGCCGTAACTTTGTGAAAAAGGTACCAAAGTACATGTAATTTTTTGGAATATATTTGAAAAATGAAGGGAAATCAGATAACCTGAAAAATGATAAATTTCAGGAACGAGAACGCCACCAAACCGCTGAACTCGTCGACCGGCAAGCCAAAGAGATGCTGGAACTGTTCAAAGCGTCTCGATCAGAGTACAGTAACCTACAGTACCCATCGACTCCACCGCCACCAGTCCCACCATCGTGTAGTAAAAGGGAGATCTATACAACAACCGACTATTTTTCGGTGAGAAAATTTTTTGAGATTTTTTTTGGTTACCGTATTTCCTCAACTTTAAGCTCGATTATTTCGATTCATGTGAGAGATATCAAAAAGTTATCAACTGATAAAATATAGCTGATATTATGTAAAATGTTTTGTTAGTTGACAGATTTTTGATATCTTTGACATGAAAGGAGATAAATAGGTTCAAAGTTGACATACCGTATTTCCTCTAATCACGCCATCGCGGTTGGGAACCTGAAAAACGCGCGCTTCGTCGCACACAAAAGTTGGCTGCGTGCCAGATTCGAAAATTTTGAAACGTGTTTTGAAAAAACGTGAAGTTAAACGTTGTTGAGTCGCTACTCACCGGAAAGCCGCGACGCGACCGCGCTACGCGTCCAAACTTGGCGTGCTCTCCAATTTTTAAATCTAGGTTCCCTTCCGCGAGGCCGTGTCTAATAGAAGCCCGCCTAACTTCGAGCTCCATTATCTCTATACCTGTGAAAGATATCAAATTTTTGTTTGCTGATAGAACATAGCTCATATTATGGTATATATTTTATTAGATGACAAATTTTTCATATCTTCGACAAGAAACGAGATAAATAGGCTCAAAGTTGACTTAACGTATTCCCTGTGAAAGAAACCCACCAAACTTCGAGGTCAATTATCTCGGCTCTTATAAGAGATATCAAAATTTTGTCTACTGGTAAAATATAGCTAATATCAAGATTAACATTTTATCAGGTGACAAATTTTGGAAATCTTTTTCAAGAAACGAAATAATCGAGCTCAAAGTCGACTTACCCTATTCTTACTAATAGAACCTACCAAACTTCGAGCTCAATTATCTTGATTCCTGTGAAAGATATCAAAAAGGTGTTAACTAATAAAATGTTTATCAGGAAATCATCAATATTTTACCAGTTGACAAAATTTTAGTACCTTATACAGGAATCGAGATTACTGATCTCAAAGTTGAATGGTCTGAAGAATCTAAATACAAAAATTTTTTGCACAAAAAATTTAATTTTTCCAGACAATCGACGAAGTAGCGATCCATTGCGCCCGTAATGAGGTGGCCTCATTCACAGATCTCATCCGAACGCTGTCTTCTGGAGCTAGGTCAGATGTCGACGTGGCAAGAGCCATCTATCGATGGATTACGATCAAAAATTTGAATACAATGATTTTCGACGACTCGATTCAGAGTGACACACCGATGGGATTGTTGAGAGGAATCAAATATGGAACCGAGAGTTATCATGTGCTTTTTAAGAGACTTTGCAGGTACCTTTTCTCTGCGTCTCTTGAAATTTTATAGTCTCTATTTTTCAGTTACGCTGGCCTCCACTGCGTTGTGATCAAGGGATTCTCGAAATCGGCTGGTTATCAACCTGGATATTCGTTTGATGATCATCGATTCCGGAACACGTGGAATGCCGTATTTTTGGATGGATCTTGGAGATTTGTACAGTGTAATTGGGGAGCCAGGCATTTGGTGTAAGTTTGAATTTTAGAATTTAGAATATTGAATGTCTAGGAATCTAGATCACGACCTGAAAAATAAAATTTAGGTCATGACCTAAAAATTTCGATTGCTATACATCATGTAGCTTATGAAATACTGTAGTTTCATACTGTAGATTTTGGGTTACTGTAAGAATTTTGGAAAATTTTGGGAAAAATCAAAACTTTTCCAAATTGTTAAATTTTCGAAACTAACATCTCTTAGAATCTTAAAATCCTAATATCTTAAAATCTTAGAACTTTAGAAGTTAAGAATCCTGGATTTTTAAAATCTCAGAAGCTCAAAAGTTTCCTAATTTCATAATTTTCGAATTTTTGAATATTGGAATCTCAGAGTCCCAGAATCCTAAAATTATCAATTTCTAGAAACGCCAAAGACGGATCACACGAAGCCAAAACCGACGGAAACCTCCGTTACGAATACGACGATCACTATTTCATGACGGACCCCGAAGAGTTCATCTATGAATTCTTCCCATCGGATCCAGCATGGCAACTTCTGCCCCGCCCACTCTCCCTGCTTCAATTCGAACGCATTCCATTCGTCAGATCTCTTTTCTTCAAATATAACCTATCTTTTATCGATAAGCAGCTGGAATCTACAGTTTATGTAAGTGTGCAGTGGAGCGAATTTACTTGATCTCATTTTTCAAAAAATAATTTTCAGACTGATAAAACCGGAGCGGCTTCTGTATCCATCCGGCTACCACCTAAGGGAGACTCCCTGATTTTCCACTATAATTTGAAATTTTTCGATTCGGAAGAGAACTTAATTAGTGGAATGTCATTAAAGCGATTTGTCATGCAATCTGTTACTGAGGATGTGAGTCTTTTTTTTTGCCAAATACTCTACTGGTAATTTTTCAGATTGTCACATTCCGAGTCCACGCTCCATCTACCCGCCCGCTTCTTCTGGATATCTTTGCCAATTCAGTGTCTTCTGGAGCCTATCTGACCGGACAGCCTATCAAGTTTAAAAGCGTTTGCAAGTTTAAAGTATGCCATGTGTGCAGTGGAGCGTATTTTCAAACTTTCGAAATTTTTAGGTCGTCTGTGAATCCCTACAAGTCATAATGGTACCTCTTCCCGAGTGTGCTTCTGGAGAATGGGGGCCAGCGAAGGCTACGCGTCTTTTTGGACTTCTTCCCATCTCCCATCCAGATGCTATCATCAATACCGGGAGATACGTGGAAATCAGATTCCGGATGACACGCCCACTTTCAGAATTCGTGGCGTCGCTTCATAGGAATCGAACGGATGATCGGGCATTGCAACAGTGCACCAGATCTATGTTAAAGGGTGATATGGTTAGTAAACTTTATTTTGTGCAACAGAAAAGCATGGAGATTCACATAAAAAAACATAGAAAACCCATTTAAAAATAATTTTAAAAACACTGAAAATTAAGAAAAAATTCGAATTCGCGCGCCTCTTCGTCCCGAGGACTAGAAAACCCAAGCTCGTCCCTATTAGCGAAATTTAAAAAAAAAACATTTTTCTAGGTCTACATTCAAATTGATTTCCCTGGAGAAGGTCAATACGGACTAGACATTTACACCCGACAGGACGATCAGCTAATCAATGGAAAACAACTTTTAACCCATTGTTGCAAATATCTCATTCATTCGAGGAACTGCTAATTTTTCCTTTGCTATAACTTTTTGTCTCCATCCCCATCCCCCCTCAAACGTTGCCATCCCATTCCTAAATGAAGAAGAGAAACGGACCTGCAGGGTATTCAAACTAGTTCTCTTTTTTTCTTTTATTATAAAACATCTTCCTTGTAAACTTCTTCTCCTGATGATTAAAATCCCGAGTTTTCTTATTCTTTTTGTCACATTTTTTTCGAATTTTTTTGTATGTCAATTACAGTATTTTTTTTTTCACGTCTTGAGCCAATAAAATTGTGATTAAACCCAGAAATTATGTACGAATTTGGCCAAAAACGAGAATCGCGCCAGCACCTGCAGTGCGCCAGGTGGGCGCAATTCTGGTTTTGGCCGCGAAGTTTGGGAATTCGAAATATTTTCATATTTTCAGCATTAAAAATGAAGGAATCTGCTAAAAAAACACTGAAAAATTTGCAAGTTGAAGTCAGGCTCAACCAGAAGTTGTAGGTTCTTTTTTCAAAAGTTTCCTCCTAGCCATTATATGATTTTCCTTCCAGTCCCAAATCTGTCGTTCAATCAAAAATCCCGGAATTCGAGGAGCTGATAAAAGCGAATTTAGAAAAAGCGAGGAATTGGAAGCCAATAAGTGTGACGTCGGAATCATCGCCAATCACAGAACTCTTCGAGAAACTAGTCATCGGCTCTTGCCAATTGAAAGACGGTGAGAGTCTTTCGAACCTTCTCGATTTCTCTCTGGACGCCTCCAACATCCACGTCTACAAACTACACAAAGACGGTCCACTTTCCCAACAAATCGGGGAAGATGACAATGAAGAAAGCATCATTGGCTCACAGCTCTGGCAGCTGCCATGTGTAGAATTCGATTCAATTTGGGAAAACCTAATTTACGATTCGAATTTGAAAAATGAGGTGATGTCCTATGTCAGCGCCCTCGTTAGCCTGTCCGAGAAACGAGTCAATATCACAATTATCAATGTTAACCGCCTGATTTTGCTCACCGGACCACCTGGGACCGGAAAAACTTCTCTTTGCAAAGGACTCGCCCAACACCTCTCAATCAGTATGAACAATCGATATTCGAAGTCTGTGATGATGGAAATCAACAGCCACAGTCTCTTCTCGAAGTGGTTTTCCGAGAGTGGAAAATTGATTCAAAAAATGTTCGATCAAATCGATGAGCTGGCTGAAGACGAGAATTGCATGGTTTTCGTCCTAATCGATGAAGTGGAATCGCTCGGAATGTGTCGCGAATCCTCATCGTCTCGCTCCGAACCATCCGACGCCATTCGAGCTGTAAACGCTCTTCTGACTCAAATTGATCGTATTAGAAGACGTCACAACGTGTTGATTTTGTGTACGTCGAATCTGGAAAATACGCTGGATAAGGCTCTGGTGGATCGTGCAGACATCGTTCGGAATGTGGGTCAGCCGTCGGATTACGCGAGGTACTCGATTCTGAAGGCGTGCATTTTTGAGTTGGCGAGAATCGGAAAGGTTGTGGAAGAAGATGCCGGCGCGATGCCACAAGACATTCAGAATGTAAGCTTTTTTTTACTGAAAATTGCCACGTCACTTACTCAGTAGATCGCAACAGCAGTTCCACCAAAATTTAGTCATTTCAGACCGACGCTTTCATGAATCCACACTCCCAATCGCTGCTGGAAATCGCTAAAGAAGCCCGTGGGCTCTCCGGCCGCGCAATCTCGATGCTTCCCACACTGGTCTACGCTAACAGTCTAGGAGCCACGATTTCGCTTGACGAGTGTATGGAGCTGTTCCGTGAAGCTGTCAAGGAGCGTTTGAATCGGAATAGTGTCTGAATTTTAAATTTACAACTTACATTTAAAAATTCTGTCAAAATAAACATTATAAACTAAAACATAAATAGACTCATTCATCAGAAACGTTCGTTAGATATATAGGCAAAAAAGCTCGGAAAATAAATAAATTAGCACTCAAAAGAACAAAAAAGTGGAGATCATCTGTTCTGGTCCTCGTGGTCTTCGTCAATGATTTCTCGTTCCGTACGAGTCGTGCGCCCTTGTAGTCGTCGTTGTTCCGCTTGATCGGCTCTGACACGAGCACGGAACATTTGCATGAACGGTTGCTGGGAGGAGATAATCGATGGCACGACGAATCCATCGTTTCGTGGCCGACGCATTCCACAGTTCGGAAGCACTCCTTGCGGTTCGAATCGCTCGACGTTGAATGTAGAAGGCATCGCTCGCTCATCAGTTTTATACTTTAGCTTCGAAGCCACAATCATCTTCGCCAGGCACTGCCGAATCGTTTCGTTGAATGGATCAATGGAAAGCGCTCTGTTGAAAAACTCAGTGGCTCGATCAGTCTCACCGAGTACTGCGTAGCAGAGAGCCGTCGATGCAATAGCGTCGATGTACTTGGGCTCCATTTTGATAGCCTTCTGATAAAATAGGATTGCCTCCTCAACCCGCCCCATTCGCCGTGAGATATGACCCAGATTGTTGAGCATTGGACGCCAGAAATCATCAATTGGTCTGTAAAAAACATTCTTACAAACATCCGAACAAAAATCTCCTACTTCTTCAGTGTTTCCTCAATCGGAGCATCTTCTGATGTATCTGTTACCATATACAAAACGTTTCTGAACAGCACATCAGCCTCACAATATATCTTGGCTGTATATGCGACGCACGCCTCCTCGTGACGAATCACTGGATCGTTCGGAGCACGAGACACCGCTTCCATCATGAATTTCTTGCTCAGCTTTTGACTATGCGTACTGTATTGTAGAGAGACGTAGAGGAAGGGCTCCGAGCTTCGATCGACTAGTTTTGACGCGCGATAGTAGCAACTCATCGATTGCTCATGCTCAACTTCATAGTGGAGAATGTGACCAAACGCAACCCAGCCCTCGGCGAAAGTTGTGTCCATCATTGTACATTTGCCTGGAAAAATGGTTTTAATATGTTTTAAACTCAAATAAACCCACTAATAAAATTTCTAGCTCTTGCGTTGGCTCCAATTGTATAATAGTAGAGGGCGACACAATACCACGGAAGAGGGACATACGGATCATCGGCGACTAGTTGGTGTCCCAATTGAAGAAGGGAACGAGAATCTTTCAACATTGTCAAGCAGTGAATACGAAGAAGAATGGCTTCAGGGTGTGGTCCGAATAGTTCGAAAAGTTCGCTGGTGAGTCGCTTGGCCTCTCCGAATCGACCCATTTCATAGGCATGTTGTGCACGTTCGATGAGAATTTGAGGGTCGTGGCTACCTTCGTGTAGCTTCAATTGCGCATTTCGTACCTTTTTATAATGTTCCCACTGTGCTGGCTCCACTAGGTTGTACTTTGTCATCAGCCGTTCGATATGAAGCGTTGTGTTGTCCACACTGAGCGCGTAGTTGATGCAAATCATAGCGGCGTCACGATTCATCAATTTTAAAAAGCTTTCGGCAATAGTAAGCATGAGAGCTGGAAGCATCCGCAACTTCTTGGAGATGTTATCCAGTTCAGCCATGTTTGCAAACGAATACTTTGTCTTCTCTTCTTCCACAAATCTACCAGTGACTTGGGACAGGGTTCTGACTGGTAGCAACCCGTGCTGCCCGTTATTCGGGAGCAGATGACCTACTGCCAATTCTGTCACCTCTTCGTACATTTTTCTGTGAAAAAGAGCAGTAACTGCGTAGTAGGCAAAGACCACGTGGATCTGGTAGTAATTTTTCCGGGACACCAGATGACTGACACGTCGCCATTGCCGCAGAACAACGAGAAGTTTAACATATTCAGCGATGCCCACAATATCCAAGGTGTCGTCGTCGATAATGCCGGCGTAGAGTGAATCCGCGCAAGCAGTAGCGTCATCGATGCGACCGATTTCGAGCATCTCTCTGCAATATGATTATTCAATAGTTACATAAATTTTTGGGGAACATACAAGACTTTTTCAATGCTGGCTTCATCGTAATACTCGCTGCCATCGATTCGACTTGCCAGTGTCTTGATCGGTTTGAAGCGGAGTGATTCGTGTTTCGGAAGATCTCTGAAAATTGACTAATGGATTGTTAGTTCGAAATTTGATCATTTTTACAATGAAGCGACTGGTTTTTTAGTGGAAGAAGACGACGACGGACCTTCTCCTGACAAGGACGGAATGGCGAACCCATCGTTATCTGTGGTGTTCATTCTGAAAGAGATGAATATTTTAATGATTTTCGATAAAATTATTCATGTTTTTACAGGGGGTTCTGAAGAAAGGGAAAACACTGAAAAGCTGCAGGAAAAGCTGAAAAATTCGAAAAATATGCGGGATATCGGAGCATCGTTGTCGATGTTGTCAATGAAGCGCGCTTCCATTCTGCCAGATTTTCGCCGCGAATCAGCTAAAAATAGTGGAATTCATCTGAAAATTCTGCAGAAAACATGAATCAGCCACAGAATGGCGAGTCCAGTGAAGAAGCTATCACGGTAATAAGACCTAGGCATCCAAGGTTGGAGTTAAAACAGGACAGAACCTAAAAGAATTGGTGAAAAGTTTGCAGAGGAGTTCCGCAAAGTCAATCACAATTTCCTCGGGGACGATCTAACTTCTCATCGGGCACATTACCTTATAGAAGGTCTGAAAGCACACCTGTGAACACTCTAGCTACCGGGCATTCGAATAAACAATTGTTGACGACTTATAAAATTGATAGAGCGAGTGGTTCACGGCAAAGGTAAATATTGAAGTTTTGAAAAAAAAATCCCGGGAAAACACAACATTCAAAACATTTTCAGAATGGATTCCGACTATCTCGATCCTTCAACGTCTTCAGCTTTCCCTTCTAATCCCCCGTCTGCTCGCCTCAATAATCTCTCATTGCCTGTGAACAGAGGCTACCTGCAAGACTACCACCTCTACCCTCAACGGCCTTCCCATTATAATAACCAACGTTATAACAACAACCACAACGACGGCAACACCAAGCGGCACTCTCTTCCTTCCACACATATTCTTTACGAGAAGACGAAGCATCGGGGAGGACCGAACGTCGAGGAGCAGGAGAAGGTTATCAGGATGTTGAGAGCGTCGCAGAAGAGTCGGAAGCGTTGGCTAAACCGGCGGTAGTCAAAAAAGCACCAATTGAGCTGAGTCTAGATGTCAAAATTACCGGATCCATGAACAATGAAATGTTCGGGTATTGTAGGACGCATATGGAGACGATGAAGGAGTTTTTTTCCGGGAAGCTTAAAGAGGTCAGTAAAAAAATTTCAAAACAAAATAGTTTAAATTCAATGTTTCAAGTCAAACATCGATGAAGTGAACTGGATGAAAACCGGAATGGCACCACGAGCAGCCTACGAAGACAAAGCATACGTCATCGAAGCGCATCTGATTCTGACGCCATCCGTCGCAGCTTTTGATAAAAACGATCTCTTTGCTCAGTGCATTACGAAATTCACTCGAAAAACCAAGGGAATGCTTCAGGATCAGTGTTTCCTGGAGGTTCCGAAGATGCATCAGTTCTTTCCGAAGATTACGTGAGTGTTATTTCGAATCTGTGGAAGAGAAAAGGCGGTGGCCGTGGCCGAAGATTCCGCAGCGAAAACTACCGTAACCTAAAGATATTTGCGATTTTCAGCCCTCAACACGTGGATATCAATGTCTCAGCGATCGGACTGGGAAATTGCATCAATCCAGGGCTTTTCCTAATCAGAGGAGACTATATCAGCAATGATAATACTGTTTGCAGTGTGTGAGTTCTTTTTTTTTCGGAAAACTGGATATTCGTAACGAATTCGTTTATTTTTTCCAGAAAACTCCAATCACAGCACAACCCGTCTGACGCTTCCCGCGAATTCAATTCATACAAAGTCGCTGGAAGCAGCAAATATCTCTCGTTTGCCCGTTTCGAACATGACAAACGCGTGGCGCTTCTCTATTTCGGTGTTCGACTCAGCGAATTTGCCGATGACGGTCTAGATCATGCCGGATTCAGACTGAACCTCTACTATAACACATTCGTCAGAATCGTTGTTGATTTGTCGGCGGTGAACACGAACTCGATTTATATACAGCTAAAAAATCCACCGCAGTTGTGGGAGGGTATTCCGAAGAGCACAATGTTCCATCCATCGAAATCGAAGGTTTTGAATTTGGAGACTTGCACAGAATGGATCCGAGTTCTCTCATGGCCTGGAGACGCCGAACGACGTGGCATCGGATGCACTCCTGAAGCCTTCTACCAAAGCAACTGGATCAGAATAATGTTCCGAAAAGAAACAGACGATGAGAAGTTATGCTCAGCTAATTTGATTGATGTTGTCACTCGACTAGCTTCCAGAAGCAACGCTAAAGTCAGCTTTGGTCACATTTTCTCCATTCGCCGACAGCTTGCTCCATCGCCATGTCTAGCTTCTTTGGGATCATTTCGAGCCAATTATGCACTTCAAGCTCTGATCACAAGAGGAAGTGTTTTCATGGATCAACTGTTTGATTGCACTGATACAAATATCCCGGATCCTTTAGAACCTGAAGATGAAGAGGGAGAAGGAGAACTTCTGAAGCAACCAATGAATCTCAAGGATGAGCCAATGTTTCTGAAAATTGTGAGACGAGCAATGAGAGAGTGTCCGCAGGCTGCTGAAGAATCACTAGAACAACTTCTGAATGCATTCGATGAGAGGAGAAGTATCGATGTGATTTTCGCGTTTTCAACAATGTACAAAACTCGAAAAGTTCAGTATGAACGTCTTCTGAACGGAGAGAGCCTTCAAGATGTCGGTCTTGCACGTCCCCTTCCAAAGAATTGTGTATCTGTCGCAAAGGTGATTGTTTCACCGTCGAGAGTGCTTCTGATGGCTCCAGAAGTGATGATGGTGAATCGAGTAGTGAGGCGATTCGGACCCGATTATGCCCTTCGATGCGTATTCAGGGATGACAATTTGGGAAGATTGGCAATCAGGGATTTCTCGATCAACAACATCGATCATATGTCAAATGTGGTCACTGAAGCGATCTACAACACACTGAAAAATGGAATCCAGGTCGCAGATCGTCACTATAGCTTTTTGGGATGGAGTAATTCTCAAATGCGCGACCAGGGCTGCTATCTCTACGCTCCGCGAGTCGATCCGATATCTGGAAAAGTTTCTGGAACAGTAGAAGACATCCGGGTCTGGATGGGAGACTTCCGAGAAGCCGTTAGTGTACCCAAGATGATGAGCAGAATGGGACAATGCTTCACACAAGCACAACCAACTGTGAAGCTTGCCAGACACCACTGGTTGGTGGAACCGGATATGGAAGGAGGTCCCGGGAACAAGTTCTGCTTTTCTGATGGCTGTGGGCGGATATCGTACAAACTCGCCGGGCAGATAACGAGGAAACTGAAATTGAAGGAGATTCCAGCTTGCTTCCAAGTGAGATTCAAAGGGTTTAAAGGGATTTTGGTCATCGATCCAACTATAGATGATATTATCAATATGCCCAAAGTGATCTTCCGGAAGAGTCAGCAAAAGTTTGGCGAAGGAGGCGGAGATCAACAGGATGAGAGTTTGGAAGTTGTCAAATACGCGATGCCATCTCCAGTTTGTTTGAATAGACCGTTTGTTACTATTCTGGATCAAGTTTCGAAGAAGCAGTCAGCAAAATGTCATCAGAGGATTACCAATCGTGTTCATTATTATCTCGAAAGAGAGCTCTCTAGTCTGAGCAGTGAGTTTGGAATATAGAATACATTTTTAAAATATGAATTCCAGACATGCTTCTAAACGAAAATCAAGCCGCCGAAGAACTTGTAAACCGCACCAACCTCCCCATCGACTGGAATCTCGCTTCCAAACGTGCCGGCTTCCAGCTCAGCGTTGACCCACTGATTCGCTCGATGCTCTTCGCCATCTACCGCTACAATATCATTCATCACATCTCAAAAGCAAAGATTTTTCTTCCTCCCAGCCTTGGAAGATCTATGTATGGAGTTGTCGATGAGACGGGGCTCTTGCAGTACGGCCAAGTGTTCATTCAGTACTCTCCAACGATCAGACAAACTAGTCCCGAGCCACTTCTCAAGACTGGAAAGGTTCTAATCACCAAGAACCCGTGCCACGTTCCTGGCGATGTTCGCGTCTTTGACGCCGTCTGGCAACCAGCGCTGGCACATTTGGTAGACGTGGTAGTGTTCCCAAGACACGGCCCACGGCCACATCCCGACGAGATGGCTGGATCGGACTTAGATGGAGACGAATACTCGATTATTTGGGATCAAGAGATGCTTCTGGATTATAATGAGACTGCAATGGTGTTTCCTAGTAGTCAGGCACAAGAGGAGGATAAAGAACCGACCACTGATGATATGGTTGAGTTCTTCCTACGGTATATGCAACAAGATTCGATTGGAAGAATGAGTAATGCTCATTTGGTGTATGCGGATCTTCATGGGCTTTTTAGGTTGGTTAATAACTGATTAGATATGTTTTTTAATATTTTTATTATAGTGAAAATTGCGCATCAATCGCTCAAAAATGCGCGGTCGCTGTCGATTTCCCCAAGTCCGGCGTCCCAGCAGAACCTCTCACAGGCTTTGAGCAATGCGATGTGACCCCAGACTACATGATGTCAGGTGGAAAACCAATGTACTACAGTGCCAGCTTAAACGGACAGCTTCACCGAAAAGCCAGAAAAGTGGAGGAGGTTCTCGAGGAGTATGAGTCGAAAGGAAGCATTTTTGAAGGCGAATACGATAAGATGATTTGCCCAGACGACGCTGACGTGTTCTTCGGAAGCGAGCCGAAGCTAGTGCAGACGATGAACATTCGAGATGAGTATATCGATCGGATGCAACAGCTGCTGGATGAGTACGGTATTGAGGATGAGGCATCAGTTGTGTCGGGACATGCGGCATCGATCAAAAGGCTCGCTGGAATGGAGAGAGACGACTACTCATTCTATCATACTGACAAGGTGGTGGAGTTGAGGTATGAGAAGCTGTATTCCGTGTTTCGTGCAAAGTTTTTCGAAGAGTTTGGCGGCGAGGAAGCGCATACGGTTAACGATGGAAAGGGATCAAGAGTGGTTTGCATTCCAGCGATGCATGAGAAAGTTCGTCAGTGGTATTTTGCGGCGTATGTGCAACCGAAGAAGAACAAGACTGGAAAGTATATCGGACAGAGTTTGCCATGGGTTGCATGGGATGTGTTGTGCGATTTGAGAAGAACTTTGATGCTTCAAATAGACGATGCGATTCCACGTGTCAAGTATCCCATCGCAGCTCGACTTGAAGAGGAGATGGAAAAGTCCATTGAGAGCCACAAAGAGAAATTCGAAGCACTAAAAAAACAGCTTGCCACCAAAAAAGAGGCGCACTTCATGAGAAGATACCAGCATTTCTACGGTCCGCAAATCATCAAAATGCTATTTATCATTCAGCAATGGCTTGAACGAGAGAAGGTTCTCCCATCGAAGTCGCTTACCATTTGGCAAGTGGGACGTCTTCTGGTTCGGTTTGGATTAGGAGCGCTTGGCGGGAATCCAACGATTGATTATGAAAAGAGCATTTTAGCGCCAGCAGTGGTTTTTAAGAAATGGATAACGAAGAAAGCTGGAGGAGATGAGGAGCCAATCATGTCGAGATTTGAAATGGGAAGTATGATGATTGAGTTCTTGAGATATATGGCAAGCCAATCATTCGCTCTTGCCAACCAGATCAGTCTTCGTGTCTTCAAAGAAATGGAAATCGTCGAGCCATCGCTCCTCTACAGTTATCAATGGACACCAATGCATAACGTCGCCTACCGTACCTTCCATTCAATTTCAGTCTCCGGACGATTCGATGCTCTTCGTCTGGATGACGATGGTGCAGAGGAGCAAGTTTCAGAGAGCAAGGATCCGATTCTGGTGAACGAATCGTTGTTCTCGAATCGGAACTACAGTGATACCACGCCAATTACAAGACCCAGAATCTTTGGTGCATTGAAGGTAAGTCTAGGAATCTGTGATTCAAGGAATTTAGTATCTTTTAGGACTGGTCTGGTGTCAAGGAAATCATCTCTCGTGAAATCACAGGAACCCGAAAGACGGACCTCGTCTATGTGACATCTGTCGGAACAGTGCTCGCCCGTCAACGCCTGGCACGTCTTCTCCTTTTGAGCGGTGAAGCCATCCGTGATGCCATTGTCAACAACGTCGTGCCTCCAGAAGTTCGCGACGACTTCATATAATACTATCAAATTCATATTTATTGTGACTTGTTTTATTTATATCAGCCCCCACCCCAATACGTGTACCATGCATAATTAAGATCTGCTGAGTGATATATTTATTTATTTAGGTGAACAATTTTTTCTTCATTCAAAAGAGATCACATTTTGTTAGAGCCTAAAATTTAGGCATCAATCGAATATGGAGACTTGCCGCCTCGCGGTTTGGTCATGAGATAAAACACGGTAAACGTTCCGAAAACTGCCAAAAATAGCATTATTGTGCAAACGATGATGGAGCAGAGGACGAATGTGATGGACCATTCCTTATTCACCGCATGGGTCCATGAGCTTTCGGGTTTCGGTTCAGCGGTGTACTGGAAACTGTTGGATTCTTGCCGAGAGTGAATTTGCTCCATTTGTTGGGATCCGTTGTAGGAGGAGTTGCCGATGTGGCGATTGGAGGCGGAGTTGAAGAGAGGTCAAAAACTTCTAGAAGTCGTTTAGAAGCTATTCGTGAGGACGTCACGAATCTTGTGGATACAGATGTGTAGGCATCGAGATCGGCGTTGCTCAGGAAAAGAGCACGGATGAGGCAGCAGGCGACACTTTGGGGGATCAGAATCCGAACTTTGTGGAGGGAGGAATCAAAGGGTCGACGAATGACTGGTCGTCGATTTTGAAGATTATTGTGTCGTTTGTAGTGCGAATCTAAAATTGAAAAAAAAATAATTTTCTGGAATTTTTTAGAAAATAAGAATGTCAACAACTCTTTATGAGGCCGCGAAAGTTTTAAAAACTTTGATCGCATATATCCCATTTCCTGTGAAGGATATCAAAAATTGGTCAACTGATAAAATACAGTTTATGTTATCAGGAATATTTTATCAGTTGACCACTTTTTGATCTTTCCCCGGAAATGAGAATTGGCTCAAAGTGACCCCCCCCCCCCGTATTTATTTTAAATAATAGAAGCGCACCCAAAACGTCAACTTTGAGCTCAATTATTTCGTTTCCTGTAAGAGATATCAAAAATTTGTCAACTGATAAAATATTGGTAGTATTATGATAAAAATTTTATTAGTTGACAAGTTTTTGATATCTTTCATGAGAACCGAGATGAATTAACTCAAAGTGACCACACGAATTTCCTCTAAATAATACAAGCCCACCCAAACCATACACTTTGAGCTCAATTATCTCGGTTCCTGTACAAGATATCAGAAATGTGTCAACTGATAAAAAGTTGGTAATTTTACGAAAAATATTTTATCAGTTGACAAGATTTTGATATCTTCGACATGAATTGAGATAAATGAGCTTAAAAACTCCCTTCTTTTTTATTTTCTCACCTTAACCCTCAAAATTTTGCGATTATTCTCTCGACAACTCCCCAACACTTTTGGCGTTTCCGGAATCTCAATTTGATTTCCGACGGATTGAACGTCAATCTTTTTCAGTGTGACATCATAATACGAGAACTCGAATCGACTCGATCCCTCGGGCTCCGTTTTGAACAACACTGAGAATCTGGAAAGGGAGAGAGATAGAGGATGAAAACTAACAGCTGTTTTGTTTTTTTTGTTCTGTTGGGATAGAGATGGGATGGAAGATGGGGGATACTTTGAGGAATCACATTGTCACTTGACACAAACTATGAATCTCTACTTGCAATGTTAGTCTTTTTCCTGAATTTGATGGTTTCAGGAATGGTTAGTGTCAAATACAAATGCCGTAAACTTTGCCGTAAACAATTTAACTCGGTTCCTGTGAAATATATCAAAAAGTGATTAAATGAAAAAATGTTTATCATAATATGAAAAATATTTTATTTGTTGACAGTTTTTCGATATCTTTCACAGGAACCGAGATAAATTGGCTTAAAGTTCCGAAAGTTTAAGAAATTGTGAGCTGATAGTTTTTTTTAATTCAAAACTACCGTAAACGCTTTAATAGAATGCTGCTCCTAAATCCCAACTTTTAGCTCAATTATCTCAATTCTTATGCAAAATATCAAAAATGTGTCAACTGATAAAATCCTTGTGATATTATGATGAAAAACTTATCAGTTGTAAACTTTTTGGTATCTTTGACAGGAAATTAGATATATGGGTTCAAAGTTGACAGTGTAGAGGAGGAAATATAGAGCGCTTATTATTCTTGTGCAAAAAATTGGAGTTGTGGCCGAATTTTCTGAAATTCTGAGGCCTGAGGGTCCGAGATACATATCTATCAATATTCTGAGAATCCAGAGTTCCAGATTTCAAGATTTCGAAATTCTGAGAATCTTGAATTCTGAGATTCTGAGATTCTGAGATTCTGAGATTCTACGATTCTGAGATTCTACGATTCTGAGATTCTGAGATTCTGAGATTCTGAAATTCTGAGATTCTGAGATTCTGAGATTCTGAGATTCTGAGATTCTGACATTCTGAGATTCTGAGATTCTGAGATTCTAAGATTCTGAGATTCTAAGATTCTGAGATTCTGAGATTTTGAGATTCTGAGATTCTGAGATTCTGAGATTCTGAGATTCTGAGATTCTGAGATTCTGAGATTCTGAGATTCTGAGATTCTAAGATTCTGAGATTCTGAGATTCTGAGATTCTGAGATTCTGAGATTCTGAGATTCTGAGATTCTAAGATTCTGAGATTCTGAGATTCTAAGATTCTGAGATTCTGAGATTCTGAGATTCTGAGATTCTGAGATTCTGAGATTCTGAGATTCTAAGATTCTGAGATTCTGAGATTCTGAGATTCTGAGATTCTGAGATTCTGAGATTCTGAGATTCAAAAATTCAAAAAATTCCAAAAATTCGGATTTTTCAGAAAACTCAAAAATCTGAGATTTTGTCCTGAAATACTGAAATTTTGCAATTCAAAATGTCAATCTTTTGAAATTCTAAAAATTCTAGATCATCTCTAATGAAAAAAGTTATAAAAAATTCTGAAAATTCAAAAGTTATTGGAGAATCTTCTAAAAATTTCCGGTAATGAGATCCTTCAATCGATTTTTCAAAACTTCAATTTAAAATTTCCTATTTTTAAATTATTTTTTCAGTACTCTTTTTCTTACTGCTAACCCCAAAAAAATCTACGCAACATTCTGCTAATTTGTCCTAAAATTCAATTTCAAAAAGCAAGAAAAAAACTCCAAAAATCAATCAAATTAGTTTCTCTTTTGCCTTTTTATAGGTACTTTTATGGCTATATTTACTTACAAAACCTATTTTTTGAAAGCTAGGTGGTTCTTTTTTGTTTTTTTTTTGGTTTCCTGAATTTTATGACCATGTTTTGAAAGCTATTCACTTTTTTTTTGAGAGCTTAAAATCCATATTTATTTGTAAATGTTCGTTTTGGAACAGCCGGCTTGGCAGAGAGCCAATGAGTTTCCGAAATGCAATTGTTCACCAAAATTGTGAGTTTACGGTAGCTTTGGTGTACGGGGGACCCTGAGAGCCAAAAAAAAATCGAATTTACGGACTTTTGAATTTTTGACTTTCGAATTTTCAAATTTTTGAATGTCAGAATTTCAGAAAATCAGAACTTCAGAATCGATAAAAGTTGTTGAATTTCTTAATAGATATTGATTTTTTTTCGAAATTATTGGAATTTCCAAAATTTGAGACTCGAAAGCTTTCAATTTCTTATAATAATGATTTTCTGGACTTGCTGAAAATTTTGAAATCTTTGAAAATTTTCGTTGTTATGGAATTTCCAAATTTTCTGTTTTCAAACATTCTGAATTTCCTTTCGGAGTCTTTGCCAAATTCAGCCTAAAAGTCAGGATTCTGAAAATTCGAAAAATCATAATTTCTTGTTAAAGCCATGTTTTTCACAATCGGAACCAAAAATATGCAAATTTTTGAAAATTGGTTACATTTTTTGAATTTCTTAGTTTCTGATTTTAGAAAAGTTTTTACAGAAATTTCAATTTCAATTTTTTTTTGAAATTCAAAATTTCAAAATTTCTGAATTTCTGAATTTCTGAGGTCCGGAATTTCTAAATTCTCTATTTTCAGAATTTTTGGAGTCTGAAATTCTGAAATTTCAAAATTTTGTAATCTTTCAAGAATTAGAAGTCCTGAACTTTTGAAAAATCCTAATAATCCTAATTTCTAAAGTTCCCCTTCGTTTTCCAGAATCTCGCTGCTCAATTCAAAAAATCTCAAGATGCGAAAAACAAAAAACCGCGGATTATCATCAAAAAGAAAGCGGATGCCAAGGTCAGTTTTTTCTTCCATTTTCATCGAAATTATCGGGTTTTTGGGGTCCCAAAATCGCAAAAAGTCACGAAACATTTCCTTATTTTGAGGATTTAGAAGAAAAATGTTATAAAAATGAACAAGAATGGAAAAAATTGGAGAGAGAGAGAGAGAAAAAAAGAAATAAATTGGTGTCTTTTTTGTTCCGAAATTGTATGGGTAGGAAATTGGAAAATGGCGAGTTTCTGGAGTCGGAAAAAAGTTATTGAATTGCCGATTGAGTTCATTTTGTTGAGTAGAAACTAGTTGAAAAATTTGAAAGAGGCTCTTTTTGGTTTTATTGAAAATCCCAGTTGACAGGAACTTTTACAAACGTTTCAAAAATTTGTATTGTCGTCAAAATGTTTAAAAAACTGAAAATTGAATGCCTCATTTTATTGTTTTCAAGTTTACTAGGGAATGGTCAGAACTTACACCACGATCGAGACATACCAGTGGGTTCAGGGAAGAGAAGGTTGCTTCCTGATTCCAAAACAGTTTTCAAATTTTGCTAAATGGCCCGGAGAGCCTATTTGTGCTCCAAAATCGAGCGATAAACCATGTAAATTTCAACTTTTGCCCCAGCTCCCTCTCCCCACTTCCCTCTCACAAATACCCATTTCTTAACCGCCACCATTCACCTGTGCAAAGCGTGGTCTGGTGGCCGAGTGGTGTGCGCGTTTGTCTGGCGATCTGCTTTTGCGGGTTCGAACCCACCTTCTTTTGAACGTTTTGTTTTTGTAGTTTTTGGTCATTTATCGTTTTTTTCCCTTCTTGCGGTGTTTTTATAGTTTTTGGTACAAATAGAAACTACCCTTGAGAATTTTGAAGAATTTTCAACATTTTGAAATTTCGAAATTATTCCTGACCAATTGGCCCAAAAACTATAAAAACACCGCAAGAAGGGAAAAAAAACGATAAATGGCCAAAAACTACAAAAACAAAACGTTCAAAAGAAGGTGGGTTCGAACCCGCAAAAGCAGATCGCCAGACAAGCGCGCACACCACTCGGCCACCAGACCACGCTTTGCACAGGTGAATGGTGGCGGTTAAGAAATGGGTATTTGTGAGAGGGAAGTGGGGAGAGGGAGCTGGGGCAAAAGTTGAAATTTACATGGTTTATCGCTCGATTTTGGAGCACAAATATCTCGGTTCTCCGGGCCATTCAGCAAAATTTGAAAACTGTTTTGGAATCAGGAAGCAACCTTCTCTTCACTGAACCCACTGGTATGTCTCGATCGTGGTGTAAGTTCTGACCATTCCCTAGTTAGATGGTTTTGGAATATTGAAAGTTCTGAATTTTTGATTTTGGAATTTCAAAAATTCCAAATTCTCGAAATATTAAGCCGAAAAAATCCCTTTTCAGACAAAAGACTTTAAGAAACTTTCAAGGTTTTTTTTTCAATTTTGAGAACTGTATTTTCCAAAAAATCGCATTTCCTTATTCCGAAAAGTAAACTAAAACTCAAAATTTCTTTTAGGAAATTCCAGAAAATTCTGAAATTTTGAAACTGCAGGTAATTCTGAAGCCATGAAATTCAGAAATTTCCAGAAAGTCTGATGTTCGGAAATTCCAGGAAATTGAGAAATTCAATTCTGAGTTTCTGGAAATCTAAAACTCCAAAATTCTGAAATATTGAAATTTTGGAATTTTGAAAATTTGAAATTCAGGAAATCCAGTAAATTCAAAAATTCGAATATTCAAAAGTTCAAAAAATCAAAAGTTTGGAATTTCAGAAATTCTGAAATCCTGAAATTCTGAAATTTCAAAAAATTCTGAATATCGGAAATTCAGGAAATTAGAAATCGAGGTTGTCGTGACGACATATTGGGTGGTGAGCCCCTAAGCCATTTAATTTTAACTAATTTATTATAGGTGGGGGGACAGGAGATTTGTCGTAGTTTTTTTTTAGCCAGAGTATGCATTCTACCGTCACGGTGTACAACGCTTAATGTCACTCTGCGTACAGCTGTCGTCCTCGCCTTTATGTATGCAATCGGGCGTGCGCTTTCTCTTTGCCCGCGTGGCTCAGTCGGTAGCGGCGCCGCACCCTCAATCATCGCCCTCACAAGTTCAACTCCTCGAGGGGCATCTTTGAACGGAAATTCGAGAACATTATTTTTTTTCAAGTCCCCCCACCTTTAAAGAAGTAAAGAGTTTTCGGCTGACTCCCATATAGAGCTTAATCTTCTTACGAGCTGTCCTCGTGGCTCCATCCGTATCCATCCTTGTCCTTCCTATTCTGAATTTTTGAAATTTTGAAGACTTACTGGATTCCTGGATTTTCAAGTTCTCGAAATTTTAAGTTCAAAAATGGTTTTCAGCCAAAAAATGTTTCAGAAATTCAGAATCAGGAATTCTTAAAAGAGCCAAGACATTCACAATTCCTAGAACATTAAATTTGAATTTTCAAAAATCAAAATTACCAGAAATCCGAAAAACACAAAACTCACATTCTGGCTTTGTCAAGAGTCTAGACTTCAGTTTTTTGAAAACTCCTAAAATAACATTTTTCTCAATAGAGCACACTTTCCCATCTATCTCTCTATGTATACCACTCAACTCCACTTGAAAAATAACCTCTTTTTCTTCTTCTTCTTCTTCCTCTTTAATCCTTTCCCCTCCCAATTCCAAATTTCTAATGCGAATATAAAACTTCGTTTCCGATATATAGATATTTCTCTGAAAATTCCCAAGAGAAAATTCCTAAAGCTGGACAGCATATTCGGAATACACTAAATTCAATATAAAACACATTTTTTTCCTCGCGTTTCTCCGAAAAAATTCCATCTTCTGAGGTGTGGTTTTTGTTGCTCAATGGAATATACCGGAAATCTCTTCCATTCCACAATTTTTTTTTTCATTTTTTCCGAGCACCACCAACTTTTTTCCTTCTAGAAGAACGTTTTGCCTTCTAGAGGACGACGTCACGTCTTCTGAATTAAAAAAAATTGTTTAGAAAAATAGAAGTCATTTCAAATTAATTTCAAAATTAAAAAAAATAAACTATTCAAAACTTTTTAATTTTTAGAAAATCATATTTTTCAAAAAGAAATCGAAATTTTCAAAATTTAAAATTCTTGGAATTCCAGGAATTTTAAAAATTCTGAAATTCTAGAAAGGGGAAAATTTAGGAATTCAGCCATTCTGAATTCCGAAAAAATTGAATTTTCGAAAAAATCACGATTTTCAAAAATTCGAAAATTCTCAGTTTTCGAAAATCTGAAATTTTTAAAACTTAGATATTGAAAACAACTAAAACTCAAATAACAGCTTTTGAGAATCCCAGAAAATTCAGGACCATATTTTCAGTTTAAAAGTCTTGATTTTCAAAATAAAATCTTGCAAAACAATTGCAAATTTTCGAAAATCCATACATTTTATCTTGAAAAAAAGGACTTCAGTTTTTTTGACATAATTCCACTTGGCATTCTTACTAGGGAATGACTCACAGAAGATGTGGAGTTATGGGACGAGACCTATATCATTCGAAAGAGGATGAAATTTCATTTTCAAATATATGCTCAGTTTTTGCGGCGGCCTCCGCTAACTCGAGAAATTTGGGTCAGAAGTTTTCAGTAGATTTTGCACTGAAATGCATACGTGAACGCTTCCACGTCCTCATTTCTTTTATACGCTTTGAAGAACCATTGAAAACAGCAGTGTGATGGTTCAGTGGTAAAGCGGCGGGATGGGGAAATGGTACTCTATGGTTCGACTCCTTCATAGTCGAAACTCTTTTTTTATTTTTTGTTGGTTTTTTATATGACCGGTTTTTGAGCTCTTTTGCTCCAAAGATATCCGGATCCGCCTCCAAACAATCCCCAAATATCAAGGAAAGAATCCAAAATTGCCAACCACCTGATTAATCTCATCGAGCATGCTCTGATTGATGATTTGGACATTGAAGAAGATCACGAAGTAGTTCACGAGGAAGACGGAGATTGAGAGCCCGAAGTTTTCAAGGTAAGATTTTTGAAGTATTTTCAATATCAAATTGGATTTTAAGCCTTCTGATGGGTACATTCTGCCATCTCACAATCATCTTATGTTTGGGGAGAAATCTGTTACAAGAGAAGAAGCTGACAAGGCGTTGGACTACTATCGTGGAACCATCAAAGGATCAAGACCATTACAGTGCATGCGAAACAAATTCCGCTGGATCGTGGGAAACCATCATTTGGCAAAACTTCGACAATATGAAAAAGATCGTGATGATTATAAGGAGACCAGAACAAACCTTTTGAAGGTCCTCGGACAGCGTCTTTTTGAAACGGTTAGAGAAAAACTTCAAAATGGCTTCCCATTACATGATTGCGATTTGCAAATGATCGCCAGAGACATCAATCGGAAGATGATGAAAATTGAAGGATTCAAAGCCAGTCAAACGTGGATCACAAGATGGAAAAACGCCCATAAGTAAGATTTTGAATTCAATTATATGAAGATTTCATGTAAAAAATTCCAGAATTGTCAGCCGTAAAGTGACCAAATTCGTAACCAAGAAATGTCTCAAGGACAAGGATCTCATTATCCAAACGGCAAAGGACTTTGTAGACGTAACTAGGAGAGAGATGGCTCATTTTTTACCGTCATCTGTTTTCAACGCGGACCAAACGGGGATTCAGAAGGAATTATACGGAGCTCGTGCACTGGCTTTCCTCGGAGAGAAACGAGTGGAACGGCTGATTCAAGCCAAATCATCTCTCACCCACTCGTTCACTTTTTTGCCGATGCTTTTTATGGATGGGACTCTTGGACCAAAAGCATTCATGGTTCTCTCCGAGCCAACAGGGCACTTTCCTCCGACTCGTCCAATTCCCAACTGTCCAAATCTGGAAGTGAGGGCCGGCAAAAGTCATATCATGACGAAGGATATGATGTGTGATTGGCTCAAGTCATGCGTTTTCATACCTTCCGTCCCGAAGAAGTTATTCATGCTGATTGACTCTTGGCCCAGTTTCAAGGATCATCAGACAATCGAAAACTGTGTGCCTCGAGGATATGATGTAACGATTCGCAATATTCCTCCAAACACCACTGGTCTCATCCAGCCGCTTGATGCCCACTGGAATGGACCCTGGAAGGTTACACCCTACCAAAAAACCAAAGTTAATTTTTTATTTCCAGAATTTTCTGAAGAAGTTCACCGCCTACGCGCTCATCTTTTATCCCGATTACATTATTGCTCAACGCAATAATGAGATATGGATGATCTCTCTAGTCTACCATCAGTTTTCCGCTAGAGAATTTCAACCATTTTTGAAATATTCTTGGAAAAAGACTGGATACAGTGACTTCTACTCACCGTTTCTAACGCCATCGGAATATTGCTTCGGAAAAGTCGACCACGAGGATTGTTACTCACCAAATTGTCCGAATCTTGCATTCATCAAGTGCTCCAGATGCAAGGAGTTCATATGCTTCGAGCATTTTATTATCAAGGATAAGCATCTGTGCACCTCTGTTTAACTCGTTATAATAATAAATATAGATTTCTTTGTGTTTCAAAAAAATTTTTTTTTGAAAATTTGAAAAGAGGTGTATGGATCATGAAAACATGCGAATTTTCTTCAGAAATTTTTTTTCCAAAAACTTGGTTAATTTGTATTTGACAAGATGCCAAAGGTGTTTAGAGTATGGAAAACTGCTGAAAACAGCTTTTGAGCTCAAAAACAGGTCATATAAAAAACCAACAAAAAATAAAAAAAGAGTTTCGACTATGAAGGAGTCGAACCATAGAGTACCATTTCCCCATCCCGCCGCTTTACCACTGAACCATCACACTGCTGTTTTCAATGGTTCTTCAAAGCGTATAAAAGAAATGAGGACGTGGAAGCGTTCACGTATGCATTTCAGTGCAAAATCTACTGAAAACTTCTGACCCAAATTTCTCGAGTTAGCGGAGGCCGCCGCAAAAACTGAGCATATATTTGAAAATGAAATTTCATCCTCTTTCGAATGATATAGGTCTCGTCCCATAACTCCACATCTTCTGTGAGTCATTCCCTAGTTAAAGAATTGTCTATGTTTTGAAAATATCTGAAAAATCATAAATTTCAGAAAGAACTACTTCTTTTTCAAATATGATGTTGTGCGTTTTTTCCTAAAACGACTTTATTGAATTTTTCAAAAAATTTTGAAATTTAAAGATCTGGTTCCTTTGAAATTTCTAGAACTGGAACCAGAATTTTAAAAATCGGTTTTTTGAATTTTTACAATTTTTTCGAAATTCTAGAATTTCTAAAACCACATCACCTTCCAGAAAAGACACCTGAACCATTTGACTCCTCCCACGTCTTCTGAATATTTCAGAAGACGTCCCGTATCAATTTTCATGAAAATTGCTCATTTTTTGGCTCATTTTCAAAATTTTCAAAATTTCAAAGTTCAATTATTAGGTTGGCGGGAAAGTCTTTGTCACTCTGTTTGTTTAATCACTGTTCTCGTATATGGAGGCTGTGTATGATATCGACTCTAGTGAATAACAAGGTGATAAGAACCTTCCATATAAACAAGTCCCCATTTCCTTCCCTGCTCCTCATCTGTAATTGAAACGATATGTTTGTTCCCACTGCTATTCACATCAGACATGTTTTGATTTACCTCTTCCTATCTCACACCACGATGAAGGATTCGGAAACTTTCTTGAAGAATGTGTACAACACACATGCCCCTCACTACAATACTATTCGCAATTGGTTCCATCGTTTCGAAAAAGATGACTTCTCGCTCGATGAAAAGGATCGCTCTGGGAGACCCCGTGAGTTGGATTTGGACAAGCTGAAGCACGCATTGCAATCGGATCCATTTCAATCTAGCCGTGAACTAGCTGTCACATTCGGAGTTCACCATAGCACAGTCCTTGAAGGTTTGAAGTCTCTTGGAATGAGAAAACTTTTTGGTCGATTCATACGTCATCACCTGACTCAAGCCAACCTTGACCGCCGAGTCGACGATTCGATTACTCTTCTCACTCTCCACGCGGGCGATCGATGGCTGGACCGGCTAATAACCGGAGATGAGAAGTGGGTCTTCTACGATAATCACCACAGGAAATCCCAGTGGGTTGGAGAAGGAGAGAGCCCACAGGATGTCCCCAAACCCGACCTTCATCCGAAAAAAGTTATGCTCTCTGTGTGGTGGGGAGTGGACGGCCCCATCTACTGGGAACTTCTGCCCGAGGGCAAAACAATAACTGGAGACCTCTACACTACTCAACTACGAAACCTCAAGAAAGCAGTCGACCGTTCGGCCCTGAAAGACAAG